TTAAAAAGTAATGTGTAACGAACACATTTGAGTTTTCTCTTTTCGCGCTTTAATGAATCCCCGCTTGTGCGCGTAGAGATTACTAAATTCTTCCTCTGAACTAAACATTGTTTTCGCTGTTTAACGCTCAATGAAATCACCGGAGTTTCTGTTGGCGGGAATTCGTGTGCACCGCAGCACTATGACAGTTGCCCCTTGCACAAGTTCTACGTCCTACCATTGCAGTTAGTCAAAGACTGTTTTACTTGAAAAAGTCAGGTGCCATTTCAACATCAACTCTGTTGCTCCATGTTTTTTTTTAAAACAGCTAAGGAACGCTGCCTGAAGACCTTGCCAGAACTTTTTGTGTTAGCCTTTCGCAGTGGGACTGGAACAAAACAAATGTTGTCTAGATGTTGAAGAAGCCAGTCTTTGTCGTCAGTTTTTCATCGTTGTTTCAATGCCGCTATCAAAGAAAGTAGCCTTTGCTCTACAGAAAGCAGAATATCCTTTGAGCAATGTGAATTCCATGCTTGTAGTAAACATGAAGTTGAGCATGTACAATAATCATGTACAATGCATGCTCATTGTAGGCCACTGACGCTCAGTGGAGTACCCTGCACGGATACGCCACGGATTGGCGGTTGATTAAAAATTCAATAAAAAATTAGTTGATGAGTGTGGTAATTAATGTAATAATGTATATGTCTGGCTATCACTTTGCCTTACATTTTTGTTTTGATAAATGGAGAAAACAAAATGTGCCTCTTTTATCAACAATCACATTTTCCCCAGCCTTTAACAGCACGTCAGTTGTTAATAAATGAAAGCGGATCGTTTCTCGGCACAACCTTTGCGAGTTAACATGAAGTACGTACGTGCTCTTCCGCTCCGGTTAACACTTTTGTTTTGCTTTGTTTACTGCTGAACCTCTCCGCGTGGAATGGACGGAGGTTCCCTCAGCAAGATATTGTATATCATTACATGACAACTGTAGAATCTTCTACCTCTACTGCTATTTCAGAAAAATAGCCGGATAATGTATTTCTTAAAAGTCATAATGGTACCATTTCAACGTCAACTCTGTTACCACCCTGCCTTTTGAAGCAGCTGCAGAAAGCTACCTTAAAACCTTGCTGGAATTTCTTGTATTTAAACTCATAGATGATAGGATTAATGACTGAATTGAAATAATAAAGTAAAGTAGCGAAAACTCTGGTATAGTGGTAGCCCGTTGACCCACAGAACAAGAACTGAGCCTCCTCTGTTCGTTGCAAGCAGGGAAGAGTAACTAAATAGTCCAGTGTCCATAAGACAATGAGAGCTCCCAAGACAGTTTTAAGCATGCTGACCAGGTTCTGTCTGGCAATCATAAGATCATAGGCTGCTGCCCTTGCATGTTGAAGATTCAGGGCCTTTGCTTGTCTTTTGAGAGTGACCTGCATCTTATAATATGCCAAACTCATTAATGTGAGGGGCAGCAAATATCCCACGAGAAATGTAAATATGCTGACTATAATTGGGAATAACCAGTGAGGATATTTGATGGAGCAAATCCAATTGGGGTAATTGCTTGTTTCGATTGTGAATAGTAGAGGTAAAGATTTCAGAAATGATATTACCCACACTCATGTAATTAAAGTAACCATCCGTCCTGTTGTGAGTTTTTTCGCATAGTGTAGAGGGTGTACTATGGCAATATACCTCTCCAATGTAACCACACAGAGATTGTAAGCAGAGGTATAAGACAATGCCCATGCTAAAAACTTTGATGTTAGAAGTCGGCAGAACAAGTCTCTCACGCCGTTGCTTACTGGAGCAAAGGCAATAAGCTTACAGTCTGATGTTAGATAATACAAGGTTTCTTCCAAACACAGCAGCATATCAGCAACAGCCAAATTCACCAGCAGGTAGTTCGTCATGTTGTGTAAGAATTTGACGCGTAGGATGACGTAGCACACTAAGAGGTTCCCTAAGACACCAATAACTCCTTCTGCTGCCATGATCTGACAGACCCACTTCTCTCTAGCTATTTCCTCATTGTGTTCGTCAGTTGCATTCATTGTTAGTATTGTGTTGACGCTGATGATTTCATAAACAATTTGGTACGCTCAATTATTATGATGCTCTATTAATGGTTTTAAAAGTCTCTCATCCTCTGCAGGGCTTTTGTGGCGCTCTTCCATGGTAAACCGACATTGATAGTTTATAACATAACTTATGCTGATGTTAATTTAAATGTTCGGCTATCGCTTGCGAGATACGCTTATAAAGTTTCAGCACTGGAAAACCAAGGATTGAATCCGTGGTTCCTGAACTGGGGACAATCGAGCACTTAAAAAGTAATGTGTAACGAACACATTTGAGTGTTTTTTTTATACAACGCTTTAGTAAATCCCCTCATGCGCGTCTGTGGATTATTCAAATCCTTCCTCTGAACTAAACATGCTTTTCGCTGATTGACACTCACGGTGTTGATTAAATCCCCGGAGTTTCTGATAGTAGAAAATCGTGGGTGCAGCAGCACAATGGCAGTGGCCCCTTGCACAAGTTCTACGTCCTACCATTGTAGATAGTCCAATACTGTATTACTTGAAACAGTCACAATGGTGCCATCTCAACGTCAACCCTGTTGCTGCATGCTTTTTTGAAACGCTGCCTTAAAAGATTGACTGAACTTCTTGTGTTAACCTTTCGCAGTGGGACTAGAACACAGGATGCTGCTCAGAAAGTTACGTGACAGCGTCAAAGTAGCCAGTGTTTGTCATCAGTTTTCATCGTAGTTTCCCCGCCGCTATCAATGAAATCAGGCTTTCCTCTACAGAAGGTCGAATATCCTTCGAGCAATGTAAATTCCATGCAAGTAGCGAGCATGTAACTGATCATATCAATAATTGTATCCTCATTGTAGGCCAGTGACGCCAAGTGGCGTATCCTACACTGAGTTGGAGTTTTATATTGAGGATCAGATGATTTTTGGCTGTTGATTGAAAGCTTCAATCAATATGGAGTTGATGAGTGTGGTAACAAATGCAATAATGTACATGTCTAGCAATCACTTTGCCTTACAGCCTTTTTGTTTGATAAATGAAAGACAAATGTGTCCCTTTTATTATCATCACAGTATGTTTTCCGCCGTTAAGCACGTCAGTTGTTAATAAATGAAAGCAAATCGTTTCTCTGCAGAGCCTTGGCGAGTTAACGATAGCACGCCCGTGCTCCTACACTGTTTACACACATTACGCTTTGTTTATTGCTGAACCTCTCCGTGAAATGGAAAAAGGGTCCGTGAGCTTTGTTTGGCTAGAAGCACCATAATATGGCATCTGTTAAATCTCTACCTATACTGCTATTGCAGAAAAAAATGCAGGACAATCTATTTCGTAAAAGTCATCACGGTATCATCTCAACGTCAAACTGGTAACCATGCCGTTTGAAACAGCTGCAGAAAGCTACTTTAAGGCCTTGCCTGAATTTCTTGAGTTTATAGAATTGAGATTCAGTAATTTAGAGAAAATTCTGATATAGCCGAAGACCGTCGTTCCATAGGACAAGAACTTAACAGAGTTACACCAGAGAAGAACAGCTTGATATTCAAATGTCTATAAGACAATGAGAGCTCCTAAGACAGTTTTCAGCATGCTGAACAGGTTAGATCATAGGCTGCTGCCCCGTGCATGTTGCAGGTTTAGAGCTTTGGCTTGTCTTTTGAGAGTGAACTGCATCTTATAATAGGCCAAACTCATTACTGTGAGGGGAAACAAATATGCAACGAAAAATCCTAATATGCTGAGTAGAATTGGGAGTAACGGATGAGAATATTTGATTGAGCAAATCTTATTGGGGTTATTGCTTGGTTCGATTGTGAACAAAGAGGAAGATTTATAAGAAATGATATGACCCACATCAGAGAAATTAAAGTAACCATTCGTGCTGTTGTGAGAGTTTTCTCGCATAGTGCAGAGGGTGTACTATGGCCACGTACCTCTCTAATGTTTCCACAGTTTCCACACAGAGAGTGTAGGCAGAGGCAATGTCCATGATAAAAACCTTGATTCTAGAAGTCTGCAGAACAAATCTCTCACACCGTTGCTTACTATAGCAAGAGCAATAAGCGGATAGGCTGATGTTACATAATATAAGAATACTTGCATACACAGCAGCTTATCAACAACAACCAAATTCACCAGCAGGTAGTTCGTTATGTTGTGTTAACATTTGACACATAGGATGACTTAACACACTAAGAGGTTCCTAATACACTAATTACTCCTTCCGCTGCCATGATCTGACACACCCACTTGTCTTCATTTGGTTCCTCATTGTGTTCATCAGTTGCATTCATTGCTAATATTTTCGTCGATTCTTATTTATAAACAATTAGATGCGAACAGTTACTTGTTTTGTGAGGATCGATGGTTTTAATTATAATCTCTTAAGAAGCATTCCCCTGAAGGCCTATTAAACTGGAGAGAGTTACTGTTGCTCGCTATATAACAATGACTGTTTTCCCCTCAAATGTGAGTCGTTTCACTAGTCAATTTGTACGAAATCCACAGATTTGGATACACTGATGACGACTTACACATATAATAAACACGTAAATTTTGTATCAAAACGTCATTTTCTCAAAAGCGTGTGAATCAAAAACAAGCGAACATGACCTGCATCAACGTGTGTGAGACCAGCTTAACGTCAGCTTACTGATAGTAAGTCAATGCACCTTGTACTGTTTTTTTTTTTTGTACGGAGATTAAAATACAGTCTTCGGCATTCGCTACAATGCATTCGCTACAGCCTCTGCCTGTCACTTACATCCATTACATGCAGGAAAGTTCTAGAAAAAACAGGGTCAATCTCTATTATGATGAGGGAATTGGGCACTTCCTTTTTAACATTACCATACTGTAGATGCTTTGTTTCTCTTAATCCCAGCGAACATCTTTCCGATTTTATCGATCCCGTTCTATAATCGGTCACCTCATGACCAGCCACGTGACCTGATGACAACATGACAGCCGTCAAGTTTGAATCACGTGACTCCCTTCGTGAATCTGATTAGTGCACATCAATATCGTGTCAGGTGAAATCGGAGTGCTTCCCGCACACCTTTCTGGTGACATCAGATCTGGAAAAAAACCGGATGCAGAAAGAAAACAAACATGGTTTCATCCAATTGCCCCCAGTACAGTCAGACCCGTCCGAGTTTTTATCGCACACATCGTACGATAGCCCGATCATCCGGCAGTACAATCTGACAGGAATGCGCCAGGCAATAGCCTTTTCTACAAACAGTTTCTTGGTAGATGTCGCTCACTATGCGCCCCTGTCGAGCCCAATTACTCGATATCTAGTTGCTGCCCCTGCGCTGTAACTACGCTCACACTACTCTCTGTTCGCTGTTGATACGTCCTATAGTAGGTCGCGTCACGTTCTCTATCCAACTAAAGTGCGCTTACGTGACGTCAGCATTGTATAAATACCACTACAACGGTCCATCCGCAGTCCAGCTTCAAAATTCTACAACACAGTTGAGTTACTTTCTAATGGAGATCAGATCGACTGCCTTGCTCCTAGGCTGCGTTAATGCCAAGTCAATGTCGGACGATTCATGCTCACAAAGCGCCTGAGTTGCGTCATTGTCCAAAAACCTTGGCGCTCATCGGAGACCATTAAGACCCTCCGTAGACTTGACCCAAGTCGGGATTCTGTATGTCGTTGATCATGGTCCGTATTCCGTTCATTTATAGTGCGCCGTCCCCGCTCATCGGTAGCGCGCCCTCATGCGCCGCCCCCGCTATGCTCTTTGTGGATCGATAACCCCGACTTGACGGATCTGCCACACGTTGGTACACAACTAACGAGCTCATCTACAGAAAATGGTGGCAGCCAATCAAATTGCAGAATTTTAGAAATAAGACATACGTCTTCAATAATAAGAGAACTTTGACCTTGGAGCTTGTGAATGAATGTATTCTAGGTACGTACAACATCATACAAAAAAACAAGACAGATCACGTTCTGTGAATCAAATTGCAGAACTTTTCTCCACCTATTTTGTTTGGCAACTGAGACCGAGTTGATTTGGGACCGCGTTGACCCCGACTGAGTTGGTGTCGAGTAAACTTGGTCCCAATCCAAGTCAATTCGAGTCAACTCGGTTTCATGTCAACTTGGTCACAGGTCAACTTGGCCCAAAATTAACTTGATGGGGGAGAAAATGCTCTAGCAAGGCACTAAAGGGACACAAATCAAATTGTGCCATGTTATGCGGCCGTGCCATTTTATTAGTTAGGGTACATCAATACGCGTTAAAGTGGCTACGTCATACACCGCTGATATCACGCCTTGCTGAGGTTGCGCGTTCCAACCAAACCTGGGCTTTTTTCATCATTTTTTTTGTATCAGTTGGAAAATAAAATAAATAACTGCATACGTTATTTAACTATGCCGTCATTTTGTGTGCACCACTACATATAAGGCAATGTTTGTGTGGAACGTACGTGTAACCTCGGCATGGCGTGGCCTCAGCGGTGTATGACGTAACGGCCGAACGCGTTTTGTAAATGTACCCTAACATGGCACGGCCCCTAACATGACGCAGTCTGATTTTCGCTCCCAGTGCCTTCCTAGAACAGTTTCCCCTAGCAAGTTGATGCTAGGAACCGAGTAGACCTGAGACCGAGGTAACGTGGTACCGAGTTAGAGTCCGCTCATAAGTCCGACGTCTCATAGGTCCGACGCCTCATCAGTCCGATTAAATCGCATCTCCTAACCAAATAAAGGCCCATAAGTCCAACACCTCATAGGTCCGACGCATCATAGCTCCGACGCCTCATTGGTCCGACACCTCGTAGGTCCGACAATTAAACGCCACGTTTTTCCGACGTCGGACTTATGAGGCGTCGGACCTATGAGGCGTTATAAGTAAATCTTATGCCTCATATAAGTCTGACGTCTCATACATTTCGGACTTATGAGGCGTCGGACCTATGGGGCGTCGGACTAATGATACAGCCCCACCGAGTTCAATTGGTAATGATTGACTCGAACTGACTCGGATTGCCACCGAGTTTGACTCGAAACTAATTCAGTCGGGGTCAACTCGGTCCAAGGGGCCAAACAAAATAGGTGGAGGAAATGTCTGCAATGTGGTTCAGAGAACATGATCCGTCTTTTTGTGTGTATTTTCGGTGGGTAACCTTTTGATGTACTTTTTTGGTTTAATCATTGATTTCGAGGTTGTACCGATTATACCGCTCGTACTTGAAGCCCGTTGTACTACTGGCACCACCGTAGTGACAGTCACGCTCTGTGTATAGGCGTAGTACCGTGCGATATATGGCCATCGTGACTAGCGTTGTGCATACCTAAATTCTCCGTTATTTTTAAGAACATCGACCTGAAATACTGTTTAGATTAATTAAGACGAGGTTTTATCACATTTGAGGGTCATTTTCGATAGCTTTAGTGGCGCAAATTAAAATTAATCAGACCCAAAATACACAATACCCAGGTGAAAATTCCAGTTGCAACCAGTTGAACTGGTCCCAGTTGAACTGGGAATTGGTGACTGGTTTTGAACTGATTTAACTGGTATGGAACTGGGCAAGTGGATAACTGGTTTTAACTGGGCAACTTGTTTAACTGGTTTCTAACTGGTTGACCTGGTTTTAACTGATTTCCAACCGGTTTAACTGGTATGAACTGGTTTCCAACTGGTTTAACTGGCATGAAGTAATTTCCAACTGGTTCAACTGGTTTTCAACTAGTTCAACTGGTTTCCAACTGGTTTAACTGGTATGACCTTGTTTCCAACTGGTTTAACTGGTATGAACTAGTCCAACTGGTTTAAGTGGTATGAACTAGTTTCCAACTGGTTCAACTGGTTTCCAACTGGTTTAACTGGTTTCCAACTCGTTTCCAACTGGTTCCGTTTCCAACTGGTTGAACTGGTATGAACATGGTTTCCAACTGGTCCAACTGGTTCACAAATGACATGGGCTGTTGCCAACTGCATGGTTTGGAACTAAGAAGTCGTTTTGCAATTGACAATAAAAAGTGATTATCTGGAAACAAGTATTACAGACGATACAAAGGGGAGCAAAATGCTTTTGGCAAGTACTGTACGTTGTATCTATTTGACACTGTTTACAAAATGACTATAATCATAATCAATGAAATATTATAATTGGCTAAAATAAATGCAGAAGTCTTGAACCATGAAAAATTATCCAGACGGTGATGGAAGTTATTTTAAAGTTAATGATTTTTACAAGATTTTTTAGATGGCATGATGATTTCCGACAATCCCACTAACATGTAAATGTGAATGTTTGGGATAAAAGAGGAAAGGTTTTGGTTACGTTTAATGCCTCTCGTACAATAATTAGGTCACAATCCACGCAAAACAGTAAAGGTAGCCTATTATGAAACTGAACATCGTCTCATTCTCGGTGGCTAAATTTATAGGAAACTTCAATGACTTGATAAATCCAGGGCAATTAACATTCAGTCTCAGATCATCATCATATTGTTTAAATAATGAAAGGTTTGCGGAAACACCATGTGCGAATAATTTCTCAACTAAGAGAATGGTTCTGAAAAGAACCAAAGGTATAAACTCGACGTTCCGGCCAGTATGCTCTGACCGTCTTCAGGAGAGTGTCTAAACTCTAAGAAAGTGAATACTTAAGTAGCAAAAGGCGAAGTCAATGAAGTGAGAAGTTGCATCCTGTGGGGATGCCAAGTAGACAGGATCCTAGAACAAGCTTGGTGCCCACTGAAGTGGAACAGTGGGGTTGCAGTGTCAGTAGAGGGAGGACCTAGGGTATAGGAGACCCATCAGTCTAAGGTGGTAGCTGAGGACCTAGGGTACAGGAGACCCATCAGTCTGGAGAAGTGGGAGCCAGATGTCGTTGAGGTGAAACCCGATGTTTTGCGGAACTGTGTTGTGCTTGCGGATCTCGATGGCTTCCCGTATGCGTCTTGGATGCCAGAACTGGATCGGTGCGATGAGTTCGGCCGCATCTCAATCAACTTTGTGGTCGTTGATGTGGGAATGTTTGACAATGGCCGATTTGTCAAAATCCCCTCGCCGTCCATGTGCTCTGTGTTCCTTGAGCCTAGTGGGAAGGTTCCGACCGGTTTCGCCGATGTAGACTTTGACGCATTCACATGGAATGCGGTAGACTCCCGCCTTGGAAGAGGAGTCCTGATTGTCCTTGTGAGTATGGAGGCTGCCTTGGAGCTTGTTGCCAGATGAGTGGTACACCTTGACGCCGGCTTGTCGGAGGATGCGTTGCAGATGATGAGAAGCTGGACCTATGTGAGGAAGAGTGACTGAGGGAGATACAGTGGAAGGACCTTGGGTATAGGAGACCCGTTGGTCAGGTTTGCTGATCGTGATGCGGTTGGGTTTGTAGCCGTTCCGTTGTAGTGATGCCTGGATGTGCTTGAGTTTACGCTTGAGGTTGTCTTGGTCGCAGACCTCAAAGGCTCTCTGTACTAGGGTGCGGTTGACCGATGACTTGATGCTGGGGGTGATGAAACGACCGCTGGTAGAGATAGCGGTCGGTGTGGGTTGGTTTCATGTAGACGCTATGTCCCAGGGTGCCATCAGGATTCCTGGAGATCTTGACGTCCAGGAAAGGAATGGTGCCGTGCTGTTCTTGTTCCATGGTGAAGCTGATGCTGGTGTGTTGCTTGTTGATGTACTGGAGGAAGTCTTGGAGTGTGTCCGGGCCATGGGGCCACACTACGAAGGTTTCATCAACGTAGCGTAGCCACAGGCTCGGCCGAAGATCCACTGTGAGGAGGGAGGAAGACTCGAACTCCTCCATGAAGATGGGGATAAAGGAGATCCTATGGAGGTCCCAGCCGTTTGCTCGTAGAAATTGCCTTGCCACTGAAAACAACTGGAAGAGATACATGTTAGTAACAGATCATAAATTTGGTCGGGGGACATGTCTGTGCGTTCAGCAAGAGTGGTATCATGTTCAAGTCTTTCCTTAGCTAGTTTGCAGGCCTCGCCTGTGGGGACATTGGTGAAGAGTGAGACGACGTCAAAACTGACAAGCAAGTCAGTGGGTTGGACAGTGAGGTTTCTGGTGATGCTGACAAACTGGGAAGAGTTGGACCCATGGTGTGGTGTGCGACCCACCAAGGGTCTGAGGATTTTGGCTAAGTGTTGGGTTGTGTTGTAGGTGGGGGAACCTCGAGAGGCAACAATGGGGCGCAGAGGGATCTCAGGTTTGTGAATCTTCGGTTTACCAAAGAACCTGGGACAGATCCAACTGGAGGGTCTGAGTCGTCTGTAGAGGAGGTGGATAATGCATCTGCTCGATGCAAGAGGAGAAGTTGGCTGGCAACTCGCTTCTCGATGGCGGGGATGGAGTTCTTGGGGAGTGGGCGGTATGAACCAGAAGAAAGTATGTCTTTTACCATGTTGCTGTAGTCCTCCCTGTCCATGACGACGGTGGCGTTGCCCTTGTCCGCTGTGAGGATGTGGATGGAGTTGTCTCGGCGGAGGTCAATGACAGCGAACCGCTCTGTTTTGGTCAGATTAGGTTTAGCTGGGCGAGCCTTGCGGAGGACTTCATTCATCTTGATGCGGACGTCGTTGGCTGCTGTCTTGGTAAGGTGTCTGAGGGCTGGCTCCGTCGACTGGATGATGCTCTCGATGGGTACGGACCTTGGAGGAACAGCAAAGTTCATGCCAAGGGACAGAACTTTCGTTTCTGTACTGTTATTATTCGCACATGGTGTTTCCGCAAACCTTTCATTATTTAGTATCTCCACCATGCAAAGCCTCAAATTTTACTGATCATATTGTTTTACAAAAATGGAGAAATGTACAGACCTACAGGGAAACAGGTCCTGGAAGCACAGAACTTTCATGTACAACTGGTCAAGTTTGATCGAATCAAAGATGAAAAAAAAACATCAAAGATGTAACATTGAAGCCTTGCAGAAATAACGTCACTGTTTGACATCCAGTTCGCGTGCTTCAAATAAACATTACAATTACACATGAGTCACTTAATTTGCTGCAGATTGTTCCTATACGTGCTTCTCCAGTGGCTCCTGAGCCTTTTCCATCACTGTCGGGCCCGTCTCTGTTGCACAACTCTTCTCCTCACGTATCGAGTGACTGTGTCCATGGCTCCCTGACATTGTGAACAAACCGAAAACAAAATTAAAAGTAAGAAAAGTAAATCCACCCCAAAAAACCTCAAGAACAAAGATGGTATGTGGGCAAACTTGCTTGCCGTAATAATAAGGAAATAATAAGGAGCCGGATGGGACTTTCCCCGTGTTTTCTCTCAAAAGGGTTTTTCGCTGGGTTTTCGCCCCTCACGTAATCAGCGAATAATTACAGCAATATTTGTTGTCTTGATGTTACAAGATAGATCCAAATTTGTCGTGTTAACTGAATCCACCTTATATAAAGCCCTCACACTGTACATGTAGTTATTATAGTTTTTAAATATATTGCATTTACAATATTTGCTTAACAACTATGCATTGATCAAATAATGTTTTTTTTCCCATTGTATTGAATTGTATTGTATTGGTAATGTATTGTATATGCATGTTTGTAGTCATTTTTTATTCATTAGAGACACACTCTTGGAAAAAATGGTCCATTCAACTTATTCTTTATGATGGGACTTGCGGTTTTGCCTTAGTCAATTGAGCGTGATCGGCTGACTGATAAGGTTTACGCACAAAACCCTCGGCCAGTGAGGAGTTGCATAGAAAGCTGGCAAAACCACTTTTTGCGAAAGTGCAGATTTGATAAAATTAGGGTCCAAAAATGGGTCCTTTTTGCACGAGAAAATGTAGGGAACAGTCAGTACGCAGTGCACGCGATAATGAGGTCAAATCCCGAATTTTATTTGCACGGCCTACGTCATGGAACCGCCACGAGACTTACACGTGTATTTGCGAGAGTTCGCCCGATCTTTTTTCACGAACTACACGCTCCAAATGAAGCAGCTGGTTTCCAAGATGGCGTGGTGAGTCGACAGCGAACGTTTTTCTGAATCGAATGATATAAAATACGTCGAGATTCTGCATGTTTTGGGCAGAATTTTGTTCACTCGAAGTTCGGCTGTGATTTTGAGAGTGAGTTTTGTTGTGTTTTTATTTGTTGTGCCCTGACTCAGGTAGAAAACAATGACGAAAATGATTACTACACATCGATAAAGGGAGCAATGAGCTTTCGTTTGATACATATTTTAGCTTGTGGCGACATGTATGTACTTTTCTCCGAGTCACTTTTCCTGTGCGAGATTTCAAATTTTTCGGCCATTTTTGGCGTGGCCATGTGCAGCGTGTACAGTATGATGTACATGTACAGTACATGTATGTTATGTATGATCACGCACACGAGCACATGCATTTTTAGGAACATTGGTTAATTTGTTTGTTTGGATTTTTTTTTGGGGGGGAGGTGTTTTTTTTTTAAATTAATATTGAAATAATATTTTTTTTGTGAGGCCCTAATGCATGGTGCCTGAATATTTTTGTTACTTAATTTTGGAAAATTTACTATGGACTGCTTTACAACATAATGAAGGGTGCTTTTAGGCTGCGTACATGAATAATTGGTACTATGCTGCAAGAGTGCTTTTATAATAATCTGAAGAGTAATTACAAAAAAAAATTGTGAAAAAAAATTCTTTCCATAAACTGACGATTGTCATATTTTCTTTCACTCCCAATCAGGAACCTGTCCCTGCCAGTTCGGCGCCTTGAATGGTCCTCAGATGTTGCGACAGTTCATCACCTCCAACACGGGAACCATGATGATTTTTGTATTTCGTTGCTAGGCCTAATGCTGGTTCATACTTTTGATCATGAAATGATTTTGATGTCATGAAATATTCACTGCAAAATTTGCCCGAGTTGAAATTAGGCTCAACCTTTGCAAAATCGCAGCGCGAAAACTTGCTATGGCATCAATCTTTTGCGTTTGCATTCTCTTTCACACAGAGTACGAACCGGACTTATGTTTTGTGTAGTGCATACAACATTTACAAGTATGTGTTAATCAACGACATTTGTTGTTGCCGTCACTGTTAAAAATGGTTATATAAAGTCATGCCACAGATACTACGCCGAAGATATTAATCAAAGAAACATTTATTGATGTACATGTTGCAATTATACATTTTAGATGTTTCGTGTACATAATAATTATTGTGGTCAGCGACACCATGCCAAAAATGATCATCTTTACTTCACTATAATTATAAATCATTTAAAGTTAACCTCGTACCTCATACTACCAGATTTTGGCAGTTTTTGATTGTACCGTAGCAGAGTTGATGATATTTGACAATGTAAATTGTTGTTGATGTTATTTCTTAGCCAAAGGCAGACGTTGTCAATACATGTACATGTATGCCAGAGCTCTCTTTCCTAAAAGTGTCTTTTTTTCACCCTCTTTATATCAGACAATATTTTTCTGGCGGGAAAAACAGGTATAAATAATATATGTATTTGTACTGTGATGCAAGATGTCATGAAAAATAAGTTAGCAGATTTTTCATAAAGTGTTCGAAAACACTTATTTATAGCAGCTGATGGTGTAACAGTCATGATTTCAAGTACGTGTACATGGAAGTTTAGATTAATCAACAAACAGGTATTATATTTAAACATACAGTTTCTTGCATACAATTAGTTCATAGCACAAATTAAATGTTTATATGATTTTTTATAAGTTGTACTTTGGAAGATATCAATAAATGCAGAACATGATTATTCTCTTTAAAACTTAGTCCCTTGTTCAATTGGCTGATTTTAAAGTCGCATATAACATTTTTGTATTTAGTAAAGGGATACAATTTAAAGAAAAAACAGAGTCCAACAATATTGAACTGGCACTGCAGTTCAATATTGAATTTAACAGATAAATAATGTCCGAAGGGTTCTAGACCTAAAGAAAATAACTTAGTAAATGCCGCAATTCCATGGCATCGATACGTTGTGCGTAGTTCGACAGGAATGCACCAACTACATGTACACGTTATTACCAAGGCTTTGTCAATGACGTCATATTTGACCAATGAGAGCACTGGAAAACAACGCGCTGTCATGGCGGGATGTTTCGTCGTAGTTTTTTTGGACAAACGTTAGAATTGTGTGTGCCCTGACTCGGGTAGAAAAAGATCAATACGAAATCATCCATCTTTTGATAGAATATGGAATTATCTTTAACTTTAGTGTAAAATTTGGCTGTGGCAATTGTCAAAAGATGGAAAACCTCGTCGTGTTTGGGAGGCCGATTTGTTGAGGTTCGAAGCTTGTTTTCCGTTAAAAATTGCACCCTCTAAATATCACGTAATTTCCAATCTGAATTGATAATATAACAGAATATTTTCCTATCTGAAAGAAAATATACATAATGTTTACAATTGACAAATAAAATTGATATTCTGGACCACATTCCAAGCGTCGTCAGCAGCTCATTAAATATTCAAAACGAGGTCACGCACGGAATGCCATGCATACAGCGCAAAAAAACTGAACGTCTTTTCAGTGCGCTGCGGACTGACTGGGGAAGCCATTGGTAAATTTGGCAGTATGCAGGCTCAGCATTACCGGCAGGCTCCTTTACCGGCACATTTTCGCAAAAAGTGGACATTTTGCCCCCCCCCTCCCCAACTCATTAAATTTACACCATGGAGTCTTCGCGCCTCTTTTTCTGTTTTCTTTTGTTTTCTTTTTTTCTTCCTTTTTTTTGGGGGGGGGGTTGCTTTTCCGGGGGGGGGGAGCAAGTGCCCCCTTGCCCCCCCCCCCCCCCCCCCCCCCTCGCGACGCCCATGGTTAGTGACGATTTGTATACAATGGGCGTTGACAACATCTAGAAGCGTTTTGGGACATTTACGTCTAGCAGCACACTGGCAAGGATGGCTATAGATTTATTCGATTCAAACTCTATTTTATTACAGTACAACAAGTTGTGAAAGTAAACTTCAATTGTGGTTTGAGAAGATCCTGCTCCAGCGCAACACATGCTAAGTGTTTAAATGAATCCCCAAGCGGCATTCAACATAATTATATAATTATACCTCATCAGCAACGCCTACATAGCCTACAATTATTGTGTGCACAGCATACATAGTTATGTAACATACAGTCGCCAAAATGTATGCCGTGAACCGAACCTAGTGTCAACAATCACAGGATTCTGGTCTGCCGTAAGGAACTACTACATGCCCACCAAACATCATTGTTATATAGTGTTTCGAGAGAGATAAAAAGAATACAACGCCATAGACTTTTTTTGTCAGAAATGACGCCGAAAGAAGAGCAGTTGCAGGACTATTACGAAGCCTACGTATATGAGTGTGTTTTGTGTACATTAACGCAGCTACATAATCGAAATCTCTATTTAAACTATCCCAAACTAAACGTCAGCATACATTGTAACAACTGCACATTACGGGATCATTGCATGATTAACCTACGTAATGCAAGACAATTTGAAGTATTCCAAGTAACGCAGTGAGGCTATCCTCCGGCGGCGCGGACGCACATCATTGTCAAGGTGGTGAGAAGCACTTGCTGTCGGAAACTCCGTGTTAAAATAAGTTGCGGTAATGCGTCATCTACGAACATTCAACTTGTATGTGGCTTTCCCCAAAGTACGTCTAGTAGTACATAGTAAGACATCTTGCGAAATATGTACTATCATATACAAT